CCCGACTCTTGTCCCCAATTTGGGGCCCTACATGAACCTTCGACATATGGGCAATAATTACTACTTTTTTTCTTTTGGTTAATCGCGAATAATGCAACTTATCTTAGGCATATGAATCTTATCCACGTTACTATTATTATTTGTACGTCAACGCAAAGGGAAAATTCCAAAATTGACATTCCACTATTCGCCAAATCCTACTTTTTTTTTCCTATCCGTTTTGCTTTAAATCTCGACGCCCAATGGCGAATCTTCCAATTGGATTAAAATAAATAAATAAACGTGCCTTAACAGTTCTCACACGTGTCCCAAAGGAAAAACCTTTTTTTCTTGTATGGTGGCGACAACTTCCTCAGACATTCTTGTCGTTCGTACCGGCGTCTCTTCGTAGAAGGTAAGAGACGTGGTAAAAATTAGCATTTTGTTGACACCTGATAATCATCAATTCTGGTCATTTAAACGGAGTCTGGTTAGAAAGCACGCTGAAGTATTTTTGAGTAAATGGATGTAGTAATTACAAAGTGATCAGAATATGGGGTGAATTAGATTTATCTAGGGGTTAGAAGTAAGTACGCTAATAACCTAGTTAAAAACTGAGTATTTTCTGTATATAATAAAGAGGTTTGGGGTTTAGGAACAAACTGAAATCTAAGCCAGAACTAAACACCATAAGATTTCCTAAATGGAACCCAGAACTCACCCCCATAAACTTGAACCCTAAAATGTAAATTATAGCCCGGTTTTGGTGAGCTGAGTGCTTGAGTTATCTATGCTAGTCGCCATCTCCACTTCGTTTGGTAATTCAAGTTAGAAGGAAAATGGATGAAAAGGACAAAAAAGGAAATGGAAGGCAAATGAATGGAAATTTTAATATGCCACGTTATCTAGAGGTGATTAGTTTTCGGGTGGAGCGGTTCCGAGACTAAGATCGAGATCGAAATCTGGAACTTTCCCTAAATGTCCTGGTTTCGAAAAATTGGAACCAGTTATACTCGGAAGTGGCTTGGAACCAAATCGATCGATTCCCGATTCTACCCAAGAATGGGTTTTTTTTTTGTAGAATTCATGTAGTTGATATTATGTATTATTTGTTTAGCCTATGACTTATGAAGTCTTGTTAGTTGAGTGATCTTGTGTGCCTATTTCAAACCCTAAGTCATGAGAAAACATACAATGATTTGCCAGCACCAAGCCAACAGCTGATGGGGCACGCTTATTTACTCATCTCCGACTATAACTTGACACGTAAACATTGGTTTGGAATCAGATTAAAAAACTAAAAAATACGATTTTTCTCTCTCTTCCTCCTCTATCCAACCACCCTCGAGTCGACCATCCATGGGGATCCAATTTGGCGTCTCCACCACCCAAGTGGTCGATGGGACTCCTCAGCACAACGAGCTATCGTCGTCGCACGTGAACGAGCTATCGTCGTCGCTCGCGGCCAAGGCACAAGGGCTCTAGATTTGGAACTTTGGTTGGGCCAAATCTAGAGGTACCGGCCATGGACGAGCAAGGATGAGAGAGGGGTGGCTCGGCTTAGACGCGCAATAGTGTCGGTTTGGATGCGGCACCGACGACTTTGCCGGCGAAGACAACGGGAAGAGGCAGAGAGGTTGGGCTTGGAGGTGGTTCCAAATGGAAGAGGAGGAAGAGAGAAATCTAGGTTGGGCTTGGCAAATTTTTAATTTTTTTTTATCTAATTCCACGTTAACGTATATGTGTCAATTTGTAATTGGCTTAGGGTGCATAAATGCACTAATGTAACTGCTTGCCAACCACTAAATATTTTCTCTTAAGGTATGGATCTCATTCTTCCTAATTGCATCTTACTATTTTTTTAAACAAGATCTGTAAGACCGATTCAACCCGAGAACCGGCCTAGCCTGCTTGGTTAGTCCCGAGTTGGTCGAACCGAAAATTCCAACACAAGGAACCGGCTTGGCTTGCTTGGTTAGTTGCAGAGTCAAACTAATAATTCTGACAAAAGAATCGGGAATCAAACTACTTAAAGGCCGGCTCTAGTGTTCAGAATTTAGAACCAGATCGATTCTTTCGGAACTGACTTAGAACCAGTTGCGTAAGGCTGGTTCGTTCCAGTTCCCAGATTGAACCTGTTAGGTTACTCCCCCTTCCTCTTATTTGGGTGTTCATTGAAGGAAAGGGATGCGAGGGAAATGAAGTGACTAATAAACTAAATAGGGTTTTGTCGTACTCTTCTTAATATATAAAGTAAAGGGTATTTTTGGAAAAAAAAAAGATCCCATTTTGATTTTTTTTTTCCCATTTCCTCGCACTTTTGGGAGGAAATAGAATGTGACCCAACAGGAATAACTTCCTCCCGTTCCCTAGATTAGTACTTCTCTCCCTTCCTTCCTTCCACTTGTCTCCATCCAAACACGGGGTAAGGCATCTCAAGGAATTTCTTGTTCATGCATATCTGATCAAAGGGTGAAAAAAAGTTAGATATTGGGCTCAAGGACCCATGAGCCACTCCTGGCCTGCCCATAATCATTAAAAGAAATATTGGACCTTCTTTATAAGACGGATTAATTAGGGCTTAGGAAGGATCAGTTCATTTGGACTTTAGGCCCAACTGATGAATGATTAGTTCTAGTTAGGGGTGTCAATGGGTCGGGTTGGGTTTTCATAATACCCGAACCGAAATATTGAACATGTGTGCTTGGCCCGACCCGAGACAAGACCCGAACACGATATAGCCACATGATCGGGCCGGGTCGGGTCGGGTTGGGTCGGGTTTCAAACAGAACATTAGAAGTCATAGAGTCACATCAATTCCTCATGACTCAAGTCTCCTTATATATGTTTGGACGCATCTTGCAACTTTAATAACAAAGATTAATTTGCATCCAGTGAGCCAAGACATTAGAACAAGATGCATCTTGCAACTTCTGCATTTAGCATAACTTTCCACAAGAGCATTCTCGACAAATGGGTCAAAATCCAAACCGCGCTTTGTAATCTGGCTATGGAACTATTGACTATGGTGGAGACTTGCTAGATTAAGTGAAACTGGTGAAATCCAAGCGTACCAAATCCCTTGCCAGATTCAATGAATAGAAATTTTCCATGGCAAAAGCAGGCGATAAAGACCCATAAAGAAAAAAAGTATTAAATGTGGAAGGAGACGAATCATTCCGTGAGAGAGAGAGAGAGAGAGAGAGCATATTGCGAATTAATACTTAGGGTTTCAAGTCAGTTTTGGCAAAGTAACATCTTTTGGTTTGGTTCGTGTTATGACCCGAACTGAACCGAAACATGTCACAATACCCATTTTATTACTATGTACCCGAACATAATAAGACTCAAACCAAAAATACCTTAAAATTTCGGGCCTGTTCGAGTCGGTTCGTGTTTTGATTTGAGTATAGTGCTCGGTCTTGACATCCCTAGTTCTAGTCATAGTGTCCTAATCAAAAAGGTTATACCGGGTAGATGCAATCATAAGTCGGGATAAATGGGCAGGCCTAGCCTAGATGAGTAACACCTTCTTACCCACCTTAGGCCTGTCCAGGACTCTGAATTTTGGTCATTTTGATAAGTGAAGTTTAAAAATTCTCAAACATACGTTGGGCTGGCACGGAAACATTAGGTGGGGTACAGGCAAGCACGTCGGTTGATGACACTGTGCAAAGCACAGGCTTGCCTGTAGGAGCCGAAGCTCCCCTCGTGTCACCTCAGGCACGAAAGGCTACTATACTTGCCAACCCTGCGATAGCCAGTCAAAGTTGACGTAGAGTCTACCATCTCCACCCATGAGGCCTCCTTGTTCCCTCCATATCTTTCTCTTCCCTGGAGAGAGAAAATACGGAGAGAACTTATGAGAAGACCTATCTACCATACCGGGAAATTCCTTCTCCTGTCTCTTCTCGAGACTTTTAAAGACTTACTCAAATCCATGGTACAAGTGCTCGACTTAATCTTCCTACTAATCATGTCTAATATCGCATAGGAACTACAAAGTTCTACCGTGAGATTGAGCCCCAGTCCGCGATTTCGTTCTCTAGATTCAATTGGAAATAGCACTTCTTCCCACGGAAAGACAAGACCAATGACAACGAACGAGAAAGGAGAGTTTTTAGCGCACCATGATTTGGCGCTACACGAACCGATAAGTCGCAATCGTGCAGTTTCCTCGTTTGGTTCCTTCCTAATTCTCGTTTCCTAGAATTGGATGCCCTCGGACCCGTGACGATGACAGGTCTTCGTCTCGAACGGTTTTTTTAAGAAACGGAGAGACAAGAGTAGCAGAGATAGACTTGCAGAAGACCCAGTCAACGCCGCGACATATCTACAAGTCAAAGCTCTATTCCCCCTTACGTCTGGTGGCTATTACCAGCCATTCCATGCCTAATTCATCGATTCAGACAAATGCATTTTTTAAAACCTGTCACGTCCAAGACAACTCATACGCAGAAATGGGGGGAACTCATACGCAGAAATGCCGGGGGTGGGGTGGGGGATTATAATGGGCCCAATTCCTTAAAAAATCTCAACTTTACTCTTTATCCTAATTATATTTTAAATTTTTTTTACTTTTCGTCCAATTTTTTAATATTATTTTTTATTTTTTCGAATTTTATTTTTTTATTTTTCTTCTTCTTCTTTCTTTTTTATTTTTTTATTTTTTCTTTCTTTTCCTTTCCTCTGCTTTTGAACCTCATTTCTTGTAGACCCCAATTGATTTGAAGCTGCCTGGTCCTAAGAACTTCTCGTTGCTCGCCTTTTTTGGCCCAAAGGTGAAACAAAAAAAAAAAAGAAAAGGAAAGGAAAAAGAAAAGAAAAGAAAAAAAAAATAAAAAATTCGAAAAAATAAAAAATAATATTAAAAATTGGATTAAAAGTCGAATAATTAGGTAGATTTGGGATAAAAGTAAAAGTTTGAGACTTTTATAAGAAAAAAAGTTTGGGATATAATCGGAGACAAAGCAGTAAAGTTGGGGCTTTTTAGGGAATTGGGCCGATTATAATGGGATAAAAGATGTCTGCAGTGATTGTAACGGGGATGTACAAGAGCAGAACTCGCGGGCATACGCCGCAGGTTTTGAACATCGCCATAGAACATCTTCATAGGAATGACCAGTGTGTGCATGCAAGCAATCAAAAAATCCAAATTTCCAAAGTGTTTTCTGATTTTTCTTCTTCTTCTTGCTATGTACATATCAAAGAAAGATGAGTTTGGATGGGAAACGCAAGCCCTGCCTGCACATGTCCCTGTCTAGTGTTCTGAGCCACCCCTCAACTTTCTTGTTTGATCAGCGTCGTTTAAGGTTTTCTCGCCTTCACCAGTCAATTACTAGATATATTGCTTTTGAAAGGCTATATAAAATTCAAGTCCCCATCTTGCTGTACTTATCTTCTGTCCCTCTTCCTCGACCGCTCAGATCAACAGTCTCGTTCCCGTATTCAAACCAGCAGATCGTACCCATAATTTCCTTAGCAAATCTCTCTCTCTCTCTCTCCAAAAGCCATGGACGAGAGGCGACGGAGCCGCAAACAGCAGAAAAGAGCAAGTACCAGCACGGAAGGTCTGAACCTCATTTCTTGTAGACAACCCAATTGATTTTGAAGCTGCCTGGTCCTCAAAAGAACTTTCTTTTGATTGCTCCTGTATCAGGGAGATTGCTTTACGAAGCTCGCAATCATCCCTACAAAAGCCCTTAATGATTACCCTCTTCCTTCTCGCTAACGTGTTTGCTTCGTTCGTGTAAACTTATGCAGAAGTGAGCAGTATTGAGTGGGAGGTCGTAAAGATGACCGAGCAAGAAGAGGATCTCATCTACAGGATGTACAAGCTTGTTGGAAACAGGCAAGAACAAGATACTACCCATTTCTACATCCTTCTCTTTACGAATTTTGTATGTGTGACTCCATTTGTTAAGTCGGACGGCCGCCTGGTTCGGCCGTCTGAGAATCTTTATACCGGTTGTGTATGCTGTATTTACTTCGACGATGCGATCGACAGCAGGTGGGATTTGATAGCAGGTCGAATTCCGGGGCGGAAACCAGAAGAAGTCGAGAGGTTTTGGATAATGAGACACGGTGATACTTCTGCTGATAAAAGGTATGAGCATGGCGATGGCCGGCGCTCGTGATATTTCCCATTTTTGTTCATGTTTCTCTGGATTCTTGGGCTTTTCTTTATTTAGATTCTTACTGTAAATAGAAATTGTGTTCTATATATTCTTTCAAGAAGAATTCGAGTTTGTATCACAAAATTGTGACTTTGAAGTTTGGAATAAGTTATTAACTTTTGCGGAGTGGTTCTATAAGCTTTGTTTAGAAATTGATTTCTCGATCAATCTCCAGAAAATTATCGCATTATGCGAAGAATAATACATATCTCAAGTGATGACGCACCTCATATAGATGAAGGTCGCGTAAGATATGATGGATTCATGTGATATCTTTTGAGTACTGTCAGAGATCAACTTCCTATGTTAGTCAAGCCAATCACCACGTTCTGAACATTACGAATCTTTGCATTTCTTCCCCAAAACGGCGGCATTGCACATGCAGCGAAGCATGTGGACGGACGAGAAAGTCGCTCTCTGGAGAGCGCCTAAGCTCGATTTACCGGTCATTTCATTCTGTCGGCATTCATCATAGGACATCGCGGGATTGTGATCTAGGTTGCTATTCCATAGTACTGTCCGCGGTCGGATTTGTGTCTAGATTTGTCGTACGATGTTCCGAATCATGGATCAGATTGTGTCCGGTCGAATTTTCATTATCTTATCAAATGGGACCGACAGCCCACTCATCAAGAATCAAGCCCAAAAAAATGGGCTTTTTGCATGGGCTTGAAGCCTTCATGCTAGCTGCAGCCTGCATCTAAACTTCTCCAGCATAATTATATTAATATTTTGATTTATACGTAGAAAAAAAACAACAAACAAAAAAAAAATAGTGTATGGGCCCCTTAAATGATGCTTTTATCTTCTATTTTTTTAAACATTTCGGGTGTTCCGTATAAAAGAAAATACTGGGCTAATAATTTATTCCTCGATTGACCAAAAGAAAATCTAAATATAAGAATATAGACTTGGTCAAACTTATTTAATATATCGTTAATCGAGGTCTATATCTTCCTAATCTAACACATGGCAGCTTGAATACAGTCGATCGCAACGAGAAGTTAGCAATTGGCTAAATTTGAATTTGAATTGTTTAAAATATGATGTACCTTTTGGAGTGTATATTCAAAGGTTGCCCTATCCTTAGACCTCCAAACCATGCTTTTCCTAGATTGCGCTTTCTTATATTCTAAGCTAGCGAAAGAAAGAAGCATAATGATGTACGGCATTTTCAACCCAAATGAGAAATTTATTACCCGAGTGTAGTATATGTATATTGAGTCGAATTTGAACCGTTGATAATGATGGGGGACTCACGTGAGTCTCACTAGATCTGACGATCCGTATTCAGTTTAGTACATATACTACGTTTAAGGAATCTTTTCTCAATATCAAGACATTGACTTTTTTTCCCTAAATATGCACACATGCACATACAAGCCTTAATCCTTTTTTTTTCTTTAATTTTATAAAAACCACCAAAAGCGATGAAAGTAATCAGTAGATATCATATGTGAAGTACTCACTTAATATTTTCTCTTTTTTTATTTATTTGTAGCGGCAAGAATGTACATGTGTTGCAGGTATGCAACAAATTGACATTTAAAAAAATTGGCAAAATTGTCTATCACAAAGCATTTGAATTATTAATTAATAGATATAAATTACTTACGAAATATGAATAAATTGCGCACACAGACGTTTAAAAGAGAAAATATTCCGAGATTTGAACTTTTTTTGTGATGCTCTTTATTAGATGGAAATACTTCAATATTTAAAACTGAAATGCAAGACGGATGAAATAAAATTATCAATGTACGCAATTGTCTATGATTAGAGTACATGTAAAATAATTAATTGAGAATTTCGGAAAAGAAAAAGAAGAGATTATAATTCTAGAATGCCCTTTTTGCTTTATATAACAGTACAAGTAGCCATTAAGAAAATGGGTCTGTCTGCCCTGCCTCGTTTGAGTTTTATAATCAGATACTATTCCCATAACCTATTCATTTGCATCAAGAAAAAACCCCAAAAAAAGAGGAGAGAAAATCATATTGCAAAAGAAAAAGAAAAATTAGAAAAGCTAGTTCTGAAAAAAAATCAAAAATCAAAAATCAAAGAGAGAAAATGTCTTCCTCACCTGGTGGAAGTATAGTGCCACTGGATTGGATGAGGATAAGGACTCCTTGTGGCCAACCAAAAGCAACTCTTTGAAAACCGCTTTTGCTGTTCATTTAGCATGCAATTGCGAAAAAGGGGGGTCGTTTTCCTTAGTTTCCCACCACCACTTTCCACAAAAACGCGGTTGCAATAACTCGAGGATCGAATTCGGATTATGTTTGTCGTTCCCCCCGAACACTATCAACATTTCGCATGTTCTCGTCCATTTTCACACGACACGAGATGATATCGGGAAACCTAAACCCGACCCAGACTTCGACAGTCGCCGAGTGCGATGAGCGCGAGCTTCACGAGCCGAAAGCGCTAGGCACGAGACATGTTCCGCGACCAATGTCTACTTAGCTGCTTTTGGGGGCCAAAACAGAGACACGTTTATTGGGAAGGCCACGTTGAATTCAAAGTCTCGCGTCTTTGTGATGCATCCTCTAGAATGTCTGATGGGGTGCCCTAGGTTTAGAATGGTGTCAAGATTCGTGAAATCCATGATGTAGGATGATGCGAATAATAAATCTCTGAGAAGTTGTTGGAGAAAATTCCATGGAGAAAAGTCGACCCAGTCCGCGTCCCTTGGCAAAAAGAGCTGACAAAAAGCTTTAATTATGAACATTAGGGTCTTTTGACTATTGAGAACATGGGTTTTATAAATGCAAAGCGCTAGTGCGTACAAAGTTGCTTTCTCGACAATAGAGAGAAAAAAATAAAAAGGGTCGTGCCAGATGTGCTGGGATTTTATATGTTAAGTTGATATGCTGAGTAGCGTGTGGCGGATTGCAGACGAGCTGTGAGAAAGTTTAACTCAAATGTTTAAATTATTTAAATGAAGACGTAATTTAATATATAAATATTCTAACACTTTTATAATGGTGCAATAGTATCGATGTATCGCTATTTCAGTCGATCGCTTTGGAACTGTTCAAAGGAAGATGGAGGTCATTGAGATTTAAAAAGGGAGGAAGGGGGGAGGGGGTGTTTGATGGGTGCATCGGTCCACCGCAAATTAATAAGTCAAGATAGAAGGGATTGTTGAAGGAAAGAAAAACGTGACTCACAATTGAGTTTACCAGGTCAAAAGATGAGAGGATATGATCAGTAGAATTAGAATTGCAAAATCGAAGGATCTTTGTTTCCTCATTTGAAATTAATTTAGAGGAACCCCCTTTTTTTTTTTTTCATCTTGTCTTTTTTTTACCCCTCGTGTGCAGAAACCATCTCGACATCGAGGCAATTACCATCAAATTGGGAACTGGTCTGTGCCTCGAGCAAGAAGTTTTCCCGGTTAAAAAGATCCATGTGAAACCCACTCGATCATAGAACTTAGGTGCAATCGACGTATCGAATGCGCTCTCGGCCAAATACCATTCACTTCCGACTATAATTGATCTGATCCCATCTATGTAGTTTTATGATAGGATGAGCTTGCTTGCGTAGGCCACCTTTGGCCCGCATACGGCATCAGCTTCAGCACTAGCGAGTTCCTTCCTCAAGAAAACAGAAACATCGATTCGGTCCGGTCTACATAAATCGACCTCGACCTCATGATATCGTTGTTTTGGTCCCTTTTCTAGAACTTTACTCCTTTCTCAGAAGTAGGTTAATTTTTTCCAATCCCATGATATGATATCTCTCCAGTTACATTTTTGCATACCAAAACTCAGAAGACTTGGAAAAGAGCTGTTTCATTGCGACTTTGACCTCCATGGCAAGGAATCCGTCCACTGTTATTAGTCCACGTGGACTGTTGTTAAGGAGTGATTATTAACCTTAATGTTTAATTAAACAGGTGATGATGATGCGATGACATGGACACACTCTTGACGCACGTCACCCACCTTCTTCCCCTCTGTTTTGTCCAATCCCCTCCTCCTCTTTTTGTCCCTTCATATCGCTTTGCCTTTTTTCACTTAGAAAAATCAAAGAACGCGGAAGCAGCATTGAAGATTCTTTTGGTCTGTGTGACAGAACCTCCTATTGGAGACTCTTTGACTATCTTCTCTCCCAATCATTCTCTCTCTCTGTTTCTGTGCAAATCACTCTACAGAAAAAGATAGTGAAGATCAAGAAATAAATAGGGAAAAGGCAATAAGCGAAAGAAACCCCCCCGTTCTACAAGTTTGGGGAGTTGAATGGGTCAGCATTTGGACCTTCCTCACTCTCCACTCCACTTTTGTCTGACCAAAGACCAGTCCAAATGCTGAAAAACTCGGTTTCTCTCCAGTCAAAATGTCAAACTTCCTGACCCCCACTCCCCACAATATAATCTCGCTCCCCCTCCCTTTAAATTCAAACCCATCACCCTCTGCTTCTTGCAAGCTTCCTCCCTTCCTTCAACTCACACAACATAGCTTCTTCCTCCTCTTCTTCAATCTTCACCTCCACTCTGCAATTGCTCAGAGAAGTTCATCTCAGAAACACCCAGAAAAAAGAAATTACTCTTCCACGCCTTTTCAGCTTCTTTGCTTTCATAGTTTCTGTCTCGTTGTTGCTCTTCGCCTCGCCGTTCTCGTGCTTCCGATTTATCTGGCGCCGACTTGGCTTTTCATGTAGCATTTTGAATGTGCTAAGAAAGAGGGTGTCATCGGACTAGTCACAAGTCTGCATTCACATAATAATCGCGAAGGATGGATAACGGTTGGAGTTACGAGCAGAAGACGCTGATCAGCGAGCTGATCCAAGGGATGGACTTTGCAAAGCAATTGCGGGTGCACTTGACTTCGGCGCCTTCGACCGAGACCAGGGACGTGCTGATGCAGGGGATTCTGTCGTCCTATGAGAAGGCCCTCCTGATTCTCAAGTGGAGAGGACCAATGCCACAGTCTCAGCCCGTCGTGGCAGTCTCCGGCATCCCCGAATCGCCGCTCTCCGTCAACGGGAGCCCTCGGAGCGACGATTTCGAAAAGGGGATTGGCGATCATCTGCAGAACAGAGATATATCCAAAAAGAGGTGAATTCCAAAATCCTGCATTGGCGATATTGCTATAATAAAGATACACATAAAAATTCTAGCTTTTCGGGTTGTCTTTTTGCTAAAGCTTATTGCATCGTGCTTTGTGTATATGTGGGGACAGAAAGATGATGCCAAAATGGACAGATCAAGTCAGAATTAACCCTGAGAACGGGCTTGAAGGACCTCATGACGATGGATATAGCTGGAGAAAGTACGGACAGAAAGACATCCTCGGAGCCACATATCCCAGGTAATGATGATTCTAACATATTCCACATAAAACCTAGGAAAAAACTATTCTTTCTCCTAGTCTACGAGTACATGGATCAGTTGCATTTAAAACCTATTTTTAAAAAATAAACCCTATTGACTTTTCAACCGTTGTATGAATGCGTTTGACGTCAATCAAAACTGGACCCTCCTCCCCTCTCCAGGCATATTGAAGCTCTGCTACCCAAGCTTTGCATTTTAGCTCCTAGACCCATGAAGATCCAGTAAAAACCTAACACAAACATTTACTATATTCTATTTTGTTAAAACAACACTTTATAAAGCTGACCGCCGTAAGTAAAAAAATCTCTAAATTGGGAGGGTAATATGCAGTTTCCCAATAAAGTGAAAGAGAAGAACTAATGATCTTTCTGCTTATTTTTAAACAAGGTGATGGGATACAAAATCTCACACAAAGCGTTCACTTTTGCAGAAGCTACTACAGATGCACCTACCGCAACACCCAGAATTGCTGGGCCACAAAGCAAGTGCAAAGATCAGATGAAGATCCTACAGTATTCGAGATCACTTACAGAGGTACACATACATGTGGCAATCTGGGGCCTTCGGTCCCAGCACCGGTGTCCCCGGAAAAACAAGAACAGACGCAAATTAATCACCAGAACAATCAGCATCAACAACTACAACAACAACAATCACAGGAGATGTTGGCAAAGTTTCGAGCAGGACTGAGGGTCGATACTAATGATTTGGACAGCAATGAAATAGCATACTATCCTTTCTCTTTCCCCTCAGCATCAGTCGGATTCTTGCAGATTGAACACTGCAACTCTTCCACTTTGACAAACGTTAACAGCAGTCTTTTCGGGAGCTTCTCGTCACCATTTTTGTCTCCGTCAACACCGGAATCGAGTTATTTTTCCATGCACCAGGCGAATGACTCGGGGCAGGCCCACAACGTGCAACCTTTGGAGTCTGATCCTACTGAGATTATCTCGACCAACACTTCATCAACAAATTCGCCGATTGTGGACCTGGATTTCTCCCTTGATCAAGTTGGGATTGACCCGAATTTCCCATTTGACACCTCGTTTTTTCCTTGATTCATCAGCTGATAAAAAAAACCAAAATAAAAGATAGGGAGGATGCAAATAGCCAGATAAGCTTTTGTAGCCATTGCTGTGGCTTGTATTTTAAGGAGTAAGGCTTTATGCCATTTATGTGGAGGTTCTAAGGATACCAAAGAGCCTCCTCCATTATCAGCTAAAAGATCAGACCAGTACATTTATATGTTTTAAACGTTCCTGGACTACATATACAGATTTAACTCGGCCATAACTAAAGCAAAAGAAGTAGACTTGAAAGCAAATTGCAGCAATTATTGACAGAGCAGCGACTAGCAAATTGCAGCAGCAAATATGATCGTAAATTTTTCATTAAATACGTTGCCAAAGTAGTCTATAACAAACTCAGTAAGTAAACTATTTAGATTCACAGTAAAATGAGGTTGGAGAATGTTACAAAGGGGCAAGAGTACAAAAAAGTTTAACCGGTACTAAAAATTGCACAAGCGGACAACGACCGATCCACCGGTTCAAGAGTAGGACTGATCCGAGATTCAGTCGATGTTGAAAACCTTGTTGTGAATGGAAGGTTTAAATCATTGTGCTTAAATGCACCGAGAAGAAGAACAACATGATGTGTTGCATTTTAGCATCACCATGGGACAGCCTGGAATTGGATGGAAATAGAAGCCTCACATCTGCATAGGAGCACGAATACAATGAAGTCAATATGGCAGATAAGAAGGTGAAGAGACCTAAAGATGATGACAGCACAGTTAAAACCAACAGCTCAACTTCATTGTACCTATGCAGAAGGCTTCTCTTCTAGGTTCCCCACTGTTGTGCTTTCTTTCGTCTCTTTTGCTTTCCTAAGGGCTCTTCTCAAGCCGAGAACTATGAATAAGTTGGTCAAAGTGAGCAGTGATTCAGCACCTCCGTGTAACCAATCTACATTAGATAAAGAAGTACCATAGTGCACTTTTGCTGTCCCATTTTGCATGAAGATAAGGCAAAAAGTTAACATTAGACATCAATATATCATCAAGAAACTAAAGCCAATTAACGGAAAACAAGGGAGGAACTACCGTATATCCCAGCTGGGACTGCTCGGTTGAGGTGAAGCCATGAAAGATGAGATGAAGAAATCAGTACAGTGGAAAGAAAGCAAACTAAAGCACAGCTAAATTAAACTTCATCAATTGAACAATGTATCATGCTGAACTCAACCAATCGGTGGAAGAAGCCTGAGGAAGTTCATAAGCATTAAACATGCAATAGTCCAGATACTGATGGTGTAGCCAATAACAGCAGTTACCCAAAGTCATCGTATTCTCTGGAATGGATATCATCAGTGCTATAGTCCCCGACTAGTTTGTCTCCTACTAAAAAGGATTCAAAGCTAACTACTGATTGACTACAAAATACTAACAAAAGTTAGACAAAAAAGCTCATTAAAAATATAAGATGAAAATTGTCCCAAAGAGTAAATCTGCCTGAGAAAAGTAAGAAAAAACTGAACTTCGTTGGTTAACAACTGGGGTTGGGGAGAACACTTAAGTACTGAATGCATGTATTAGACGGTGAAGCAGGCTAGAAGCTCAACCTTCGAAAAGTTATCTCATTTTAGCTCAAAAATCAAAATGCAAAGCACATAGCTGGATATAGATTAGTGTACACCATCACTTCATCAGAGGTGATGCTTAAGTTTACTAATGCATATGTGTACGTATGTGTAACGCACACAATGTGCGTCCATGTAGATAGGTACACACATAGATATATATGGATGGACAGGGGATGCTTCACAATAAACCTATCATTTGGCAGAAGCCAAGCTGCTAGTTGCGCAAGCTAAGCATTCCTAATTTGGCCAAAATCAGATTTCTAACAGGGGCTAATGAACACCGAGCACTTAAGATTTATTCTTATCATCATCAATCATCGCCGTCGCCTTCTTTGTCTCGAACCATTCGGGGTGTCAATTTTCTCCCTTGATGCCAAAAAGGCTTCACTTTTCTCAAGTAAAAGGAACATCTAAACACCAGAGTCATCAAAGAAACTTCACGTCAGCCTAATCGAAAGCCTCCATTTACTCTATCGCAAGCTCTGCGCTCCTTGTACCGCAGACATAAAAGTCTTCCGTCTACCTTGAACAACAGCTAAAACCCAGACAAATGCACCCAAAACAAAAGGGAAACTTCCACATACGACCATAATGCAGACACGCGCACACAGAGCAATCTTTCGGACACGTACTGGTGGCTCCGACGAAAGCGAGCAGGAAGTAGAACCCGAACAGGGTCAGGCTCGGGGCGGACTTGGATTTCGTGAGGAAGTACAAGAAGCCGAGGTACGGGAACAGGGAGAGCGCGAACAGCTGGGACGCGATGCTCTCCGAATCGACGGCCGGAGCCCACGGATCCACCGGCAGCAACCACCCGCGCGCGACCGCTCTCGCCCCCCGCCGCGCCCTCCTCCCCTCCTCGCCGGCTCGCTCGGGCTCGCCCCGCCCGGACCCGCCGGCCTCGCCGCGCCGGAGCCTCGCGAGGCTTCGCGGGGGAGGAGACGGGCTCGAGAACGTCGGAGGGACGAGGAAGGCCGGCGGCGAGCGTTGGAGGAGTAGCCGGGAGGGAGGGAAGCTGGTCATGGTGTTCGCATCAATGGAGGTGGACTGGGGATGGTTGCAGAGCAGAGGGAGCTGACATGGAGCGGAAGTGCTTCCGCCTTTCGGTTTCTTCCTTATCGGGAGTCAGCGATTTCGAGCTGTTCTGACCGTTGGATTGGTGTACCTTTGTTCTTTCAAAAACCTTGTTGGGAAAATGACATAAATGATCCAAATTTTTTATTTTTTCAATATGGTCATTGAAGCTAGTCTAATGTACAATATTATCCCTAAAATTTTATTTTTACAATGTGATCCCTGAACTTTTTGTATATGTTTAAACTAGTTCCTAGACTGCATGAAAATGTTTAATGTTGTCAATGAACTTGAATTAATGGAAAGATAACATTGGATATTTTTATATTGTTTAAGAATTAGTTTGAATATTTACCAAAAGTTAAAGACCATATTAAACAAATTAAAAGTTCATGGACCACATTGCACACTGGGCCAAAGTTCAAGAATAACTTGTGTCATTATCCCAAACTTTTTTGTGAGTAAAAAGATGAGAAAACGATGCAAATGGTCCATGAACTTTAGTCCAGTGTGCAATGTGGTTCCTGAACTTTTAATTTGTTCAATATAGTCTCTGAATTTTAGCTAAATGTGAACATTTGGTCAATATTGTCCTTGAGCTTAAATTAATAGAAGGACAGTATTAAGCATTTTCATATAATCTAAGGACTAAATTAAACATGTACCAAAAGTCTGGGATCACATTGAACAAATTAAAAGTTCATGAATCATATTGCACATTTGGCTAAAGTTCATGGATCATATTGAACAAATTAAAAGTTCCTGGACTATATTGCACATTCGACTAAAGTTCATGGATCATGTTGAACAAATTAAAAGTTTAGATACCACATTACATATTTGGCCAAAATTTGGAGACTATTTATGCCATTATCTCTAAAAAGATTATGTATCGAGTTGAGTATTCCTCCAAGACTCTAATGCATAAAATATTAGTTATACTCTAAAATCACAAAAAAAGAAAGCTATAATTGATACTAATGTGGGATATGTTCACTAGAAGTCCTAAAACTTATCACAAAAGTGCAATCGAGTCCTAAAACTTGTAAAATGTGCAATTGATTGTCAAATTGGTTCAATCAAGTTCTAAAGTTAACACTGTCCAATTTGACTAATGAAAAATGCTAACATGATTTTTTTAATTATTTTTTCTATCTTACATGGCGATGACGTGGCTTTTTTTAATCATTATTTTAATATTAATTTTATTAAAAAAATAAAAATAAAATTTTAAAAAATTTTAAAAAAGGGGAGTAGGAGGAGGACAAGCGGGGCAGGAGGGCTTGCTCTCCCTCCCGCCGCCGCTACCCCATCATCGCCTGGAGGGGCCGAAGAGGGTGGGGAGACGGCAGACGAGGGTCGCTGGGCCTCGGCTAGGGATCGGCGACCCTCGACCAGGTATGGGTGAGGGCCAACAGGCCTTCGCCTGCCGTCGGCGACGGTCGCCGGCCCCGCCTGCTTGCTATCCCCCCACCCTCGCCTGTCCCTCTCGGCAATGGTGGGGCAGCGGTGAGGGCAAGCCCTCCCTCCTCGCCTGTCCTCCTCCTCCCTTTTTTTAAAATTTTGTTTTTTAGCTTATTAAGTAGTATTAAAAATCAAATTTGGGCTAAAACGACGTTGTTTTAGCCACGTCATCGCCACATAAGAGAGAAAAAATATTAAAATAAGCCACGTCGGCGTCACGTGAGCATTTTCTGTTAGTAAGTTTGACAGTACTAACTTTAGGACTCATTTGAACCAATTTGATAAGTTTTAGGATTTAATTACATTTTTTGCAAGTTTTAGGATTCAATTGCATTTTGGTAACAAGTTTTAGGACTTATAGTGAACATATCCCTACTAATATTTGTATAATTTTCAAAAGGCTATATATTTCATGTTAAAAATCACATTACGGGCGTAGTGGACTGATGATTATACGGGCTTGGACAACTTTATGGGCACGTTATGCCTAGCTCGAATCCATTTACATGGTACGCCTAAATAGATTTCTATCCTTACCTTTCCCTCAATCTAAATCTTGCATTGGACACACTTTACATTTATTTTCAACCTATCTTCCGGAAAATCATGACATTTGAGATTTTTGTATGATGCCAATATAGTCAAACGAATTTTTGAAATTCCATAAACTTATATCATTATTGTTTTGAACTCCCCCTCTTGATTAAGAACCCAAATCGAACTTGAGTAGGTTTGAAAGTTTTGATTACCTACCCCAAACCCTTACTTCTACCATTCTTAAGATGGACGATTTTACTATTCTGTTTTCAAGAAAAGATTTTCTCTTCCCGTGTCGATAGACATCTGAACAAGTTGGTAGTTGTAAAAAATTGTTAGTCAAAAAATTTATCGGATACGTGATTTCCTGATAACTTGTTGGTAAAGTATCAACATTTTTATTAAATCACCAATTCATTTTTATTGTTTGTAAACTACTAAACTTTTCTTCAATTTTTTCGATTCTTATTTGTTTTTCTTAACAACGCCTCAAATTTACCAACTCTTATACGGATTTATCAATCTCTATTTGATTGGCTTACTAAGTCTTTTGCGATTAAATTACACATTAGCTTTGAGTTATCAACTTTTTGGGTTATTTACCGACGTGAATTTTATTTTTTTAATCTGTCAACTTTTGTTATCTTTCACCCACATTAATATCTTTCTCCAACGATTGCCTTAAATTTATCAACTCTATATGAGATTACCAATATTTATTTGCGTGACTTATCAATATTTCCTCCAACTAGTTTTGATTTACTAAATCTTGTTTAAGTTTCTCAGTTCTCACCAAGTTTATTTTGCTTTTTTCTCTTAATTTACCTACTCTTTTTTAAAGTACTAGCCTTAATTAAGAGTGAATAACACTAACTAGTTTTGCTTTACCAATTTTTATTTTAGTTAGTTACCGATGTTTTTTTGGTTACCACCTTCCCTTATCTCTAGTAAACAAAATTTTCTTTTCATTTATGAACTTCCATTTACTTTTTATTATCAATGCCTTAAATATGCCAACTATTATGTGAAGTTTACACAATTTATTTGAATGACTTGCCAACTTTGTTCAGATTAAGTTACCAATTAGTTTCAGATTACCAACTCTTATTTGAATTGCTTAACAACTGCCAATTGAGCTTTATACCAACATTACCAACTTCAATCAGAGCGACACCAACTTTTCTCCGATTAACTTATCAACTAATTTTGTTTTACCTCTTATCTAAGTTAATTACAAACATTTATAGTTAGTAACCAAATTTTCTTATATCTGGCTCTAAAAACTTCTCTTATTTTTGCTACGGACCCAACAGAATTCTGCTTCTAAAAAAGGATAAACATCTTGCTGTAATTGCGAGATTAATTACTTTAATTACCATACTTCTTTCTTTGTTCTTCTTAAGTGAGTTGCTCTTGCACTCCTCGACAAATAGGTAGTTGCTTGCTAGTTGGGGCAAAATAACTATGCCTCCTACACAGCAAATTTTCATCAAATTCCCCTATCATCATCTGCGCAAGTTACCATCCTCACGACACGACTCATTTATTCTGCTCTCGACGTGCATTTACTTCTGTCGCAGGGGTTTGGGATTCATCTGTCGATCTGTTTCGATTCAAACGGTCATGCATGATCTTGTCAAGATCATGCATGAAGTGGATATGCCCTAGCTGATGCAAATTACTGTCATATGCTTCCCTCGCAGAAGCAACAAGGTACGAAATGGACCCCCGTCATTCAAACTTTAGTAAAGGAGCGCAATAATTTTCTCAACGAAAAGAAGTAAATGCATATAAGCAGGCTATAATATGAGAGTAATAGGACCCATAGATCCGGACCACGCTCTTAATAATACGTACGTTTGCATCAATGATACACGTTTGTGTCCATCCGGCTCCATCTTCCCCCGAATTCTAGTTCCATCCAAATTCGAAATCAACGATATTCCGTTGAATGGTCCGTTTTACATCGCTTCTTTTAGACTTTTCATTTCATGGTGATTAAGTTACATTTCCCCGTGCGATGGATGTTGATCAGTTGTGGCTGCAATGAAGGGATATAAAGCATAGTTACTTAAATGAAGAAATGCGCCCACTTTATTGCTTGGTTAGCATTATTTTAGACGAAGAAAAAGTCTTAGGTTAAGCAGACGAAGACTTTGGTAGATACACCACAAAAATCCTAATGGGTCAACATAGAAGAGATTTTGGCTAGTTGTTAGGTCTTGGTTAGGTAATTTTCACGAGAAATAGGGAGTCTCTCTCTCTCTCTCTCTCTCTCTCTCTCTCTCTCTCTCTCCCATGCAATAATCAGCCAAGACAGAGACAAGCAGCTGCTTTTAGGTCAAGAAAGAAACACAGGATCGAGGTGAGCTGTTCCACCAGTTCCCATCATTGTCTCATCAAACATGACAGATTACTATGAAGTGCTCGATCTTGTACACACTGAAATCCATTTATCTCGTTATAAAGACCTAGAAAAAATCGATGTTAGCTCTGGCTGCTCTGCAAAAAGAGTACACGCGTGTGCAAGTGAAGAAGAGGGAAAATTTAATCGGGAAGGAAATGTTTAAAGATTTGATCTAGCTTTGGAACAAGAGATATTTAAGTTCAAATTTGAATAATTGGATATTTACTGAAATGGTAGAAGAATTGCGCCGACTATTGATATGAATAACGCTTCTTTCGATTCAGTTAGGGATATTATTGCAACTTTTTCATTATAAAGCATAGGTTGAGGTAAAAAATTATCGATGGGTTTGCTTTGTATACACTCATCTCTCGCTATTTGTTTAGAAATATATGACTAATCCAAATGAATATGGTAAAAGACAAATTCGGCAAATCATAGTTTAAAATCTTCATGAAATGAAAGCTATAGTGGAGCTTACAGCAGTAACTTTTGTTAACGAAGTGGTGATACCACAACCCGAGCACCGATACACATCAATTCAAATTCTTCATTTTTAGCTTTTGTTTGTTCAGCAAGTATAAATACGAGATAGTCTGACCCGGATGCCGAAGTTAGGTGAAACTCCAAAACAAACGTGCCACCAAATTAGACTAGTATCAAGCAACAAGAAATTCCAGCGGACATATCATCATCTCCATGTCAAGACCTCAACCTTAGCGATAACCGATATGGTGGACATGATCAATCACGGTGGACGAAATTTTGGATCACGACTCGATAAATTGACTTAACCTATAGAATGTACACATCTCAAGTTCTCAAACCAGTAGGCACTTGTTTCACTAGATCATCTCCTCACGAAAACTAATTAAGCACAAGAAATACCGACTGGAGCCGCCGCGAATCTCTCCGACGCTGTTCTCTGCACGAACGAGCTCACCTCCGGTGACAACGCTGCGAAACACTCACTCTCCGGGACCTCCGGGATCGTCGAGAGAGCGCCGGACTTGTCGTAGAAGAAGAGGAAGTTGCCCTTGTGGGCTTCACGTCGTTCGACCCCGAAGATGGGCTTGCTAGGCTTGAAGACGGACCGGAGGAGCTTCTGGAGCGAGCGCGAGATCTTGGAGCCTCTCTTGGGAGGCGGCGGCGGCAGCAGCGGAGCAGACAGTGGCTGCGGCCGCGGTGGACCGGGCGGCTCGAGGCGGCGGCCAGGGAGGTGAGGCATGGAGAGAGTGCGGGAGACGATGGCGGAGTCAAGGGTGCGCTTGAAGGATCGGAGCTCGAAGGAGTCGTAGAGGGTGCTCCCGCAGTCCCATAGCTGTGACGACTTGGCTCGTTCCATTTGAGTTTGCTCATGTTGATCCATTGTCACTGTGTTTTGCGGGAGAGAGAGAGAGAGAGAGAGAGGAAGGAAGGAGAGTAAGGAAGGAGAGGAAGGGCTTTTGTAGAAGTAATTGGGTAGGTGATGGACGATACGCGAGCTCACGTCCGTCGCATACTGACCACGGAATTCTAGCTTTCGTTAGGGTTGTGGCAAGCCGCGCATTTATTGGAAATAATAGAACAAGGAGAAAACAAACTATAAAACAAAATATACCTTTTTTTTTTGTTGGTCGGTAACAAAATATACCTTTGAAAAGTAAAAACAAGAAGAAAAACTTTTAACTTTTATGGCTTCATTGATAATCGCTTCTCACAACTTTTTGTTGAATCTCTTATCGGAAAAGTCGGAATCGACCATGGCATTTCGGAAAGGGACACGGCTCTCTTCGTTCTTAGTTGAGGCCGGCAATTTTTTCTTACGGGAATGAAGACGTTTTGACACGATCATTTGATAAATTCAAAAGTTACACGACTTAACACAAATTTAATATACATAAGTTTCTATAGTATGATTAGCAAGAATAGAGGGCTTTTGATTTTTTCCCCCTATTACAAGTCGTTCTAAAACTCATTAGAAGGGATTTTTGCCTAATAGGCCCTCTCAAACCTGTGTAGACTTAGGGCCTATTTGGTAAGAGTGCGTTTGGTAACTTGCAAAATAGTGACTGATTATATTCTTTTGTTCCCAGAAATAAAAAAAGAATAGAAATCCGTTTATTAAATTTTTTGTTTCTAGGCACAAATTTGTTCCTATAATCAGTTTTGGAACAAAATCCAGAAGCAAAAAAAAGTTATTTCTTAATTCTAGGAACAAGAATCAGAAATAGAAGATGATTTTTTTTGCTTTTTCTTCTTTCCTTCCTAGTTGTGGCCGATTCTTCTTTTTTCCTGGCCTGTGGCCGGTAGCCGACGACTGGTCATAACCTAGTGCCGGCGAGGGCGAGGGCTGGACCCTCGCAGCTTGGGCGAGGGCCACCCCCAAGGCTCACGGACTAGGCGAGGGCGGCGGTGAGGGTCCTCTAGCCCTTGACGAGGGCTGGACCCTCGCCGCCGCCCTCGCTAGATCCGGCAAGGGTAGCCCTCGTCCAGGCCGCGAGGGTCTAGCCCTTGCCCTCGCCCTAGCCCTCGCCGGCCCTAGCCTGTGGCTAATCGTCGGCTAACCGGCCACAACCGACGACCTGGCCATGGCTAAGAAGGAGAAGAAAAAAATAATAATAATAATAAAAGAAATATTAAAAAATTTATAAATATTATTGGGTGCGTTTAACAACCATTCTGTTCCCGGAAATAATTTCTATTCAGAAATGATTCTTTTTTATTCCGTGCCCGGGAACAATTTCTAAGCATTTGAAGGCGTTTAGTAACTGCCCAATATTTCCATTCTTGGAATAGAAAAAAAAATAGAAATGCATTTCGTAACTGCACAAAATTTCTTTTTATTAATAATATTTTTGAATTTTTTAATATTTCTTTCTTTTTTTTTTCTTTTTTCTTCTTCCCCTTCCTTGGCCATGGCTAGGTTACCAACGTCGACGATCGACCACAGGCCAGGGCCGGCGAGGGCATCGCGGCCCTTGCCAGATATGGTGAGGGCTGGACCCTCACCGGCTTCGGTGAGGGCTGGCGCTTGCGACTTGGGCGAGTGCCACCCTCGCTACTGCCCTCACCAGATCTGGCGTGGGCACCGGCCAAAGGCAAGGCCGACGAGGGCGTCACAGCCCTCTCCTGATCTGGCGAGGGTTGGACCCTCGTCGCTGCCCTTGCCAGATCCGGCGAGGGCGGCAACGAGGGTCGCCCACACCAAATCCGGTGAGAGCGGCCTTCACCTACGCGGCGAGGGTCTAACCCTCGCCGACCACAGGCTAGGAAGAAGAAGAACAATAACAACAATTTTTTTTTTCTTTTCCATTTCTTATTATTGTTCCCAGAATCAAGAAACAACTTTTTTTTTCTTCTTGATTCTATTCCAAAACTGATTCTGGGAACAAATTTTTGCAAATTTGTACTCGAGAACAAAAAATTTATCAAACGGATTTCTATTCTAAAACTGATTCCGAGAACAAAAGGATAGAAATAGTTACTGTTTGACTGGTTGCAAAATTTACCAACTGGCCAAACAGTGCCTGATTCTATTATTTTATTTCAGGGAACAAAAAAAGAACAGAAATCCGTTTGGTAAATTTTTTGTTCCCGGGCACATATTTGTTCCCAGAATCAGTTTTGGAACAGAATCAAGAATTAAAAAAAAAGTCGATACTTGATTATGGGAACAAGAATAAAAAATGGAAAAGAAAATTTTTTTTCTTCTTTTTCTTTCCTAGCCTGTGGTCGGCGGTCGGCGAGGCAGCCCTCGCCCAGGTCGCCGCCCTCGCTAGATCTGGCGAGGGCTAGACCCTCGCAGCCTAGTCGAGGGTCGCCCTCATCGGACCCTCGCCATATTGGCAAGGGCGGCCCTTGCCCAGGCGGCAAGGGTCTAACCCTCGCCCTCATCGGCGAGGGTGGCCCTCGTCTATGGCCGGCGAGGATCGCGATGCCCTTGCCGGCCATGGCCCAAGGAAGGAGAAGAAGAAAAAAAGAAAAGAAAAAAAAAAGAAAGAAATATAAAAAAATTCAAAATATTATTAACAAAAAGAAATTTTGTGCAATTACTAAATCCATTTATGTTCTTTTTCTATTTCAGGAATATAAATTTTGAGAGGTTACCAAACACTTTCAAATGCTCATAAATTTTTTTCAGGAATGGAATTAAAAAAATCATTTCGGAGCATAAATTGTTTCCGGGAATAGAATGATTATCAAACGCATCTTAATCGGCTTGAAGAGTAAAATAGACTGACCCGGACAGATAATCGTTTTCTTATGTTAGTCCGTCCAAATTCTATATAATATAAGGATTTTAAACCATGGACGAGTCTTGATAAGAACTTTTCTTTTTATGTCCGTTATTAGGCCTAATCTGTCCAAGTCCTCTAAAAAAATAGGAAAATTTGAATAACTTTACCAAGTTCTTGATAGCGGATTGAATCTCCCCAATAGAGCATTTTTGAAGGAGAATTCAATATCAAACTTTTATCTAAAATTCAATGAGACCCATGTTGGTTAAGAAGCATGGACAAAATAGTAATTTAAAGTTGAAGTAAATACAAGGGCTTCGACTTTCTCAAATTTTCTAAAATTGAAATTTGATTACTTCCAATTTCGCAACAATTGAAGCCCATTTTTATAAAATAAAATAAAAATCTTTATGTACTATTTTACTTTCACTTTTATATAAAAGGGCTAAAAGCATGGAAGGTAAGTAATAAGCTGTTTCTTTGGAGAAGGTAAATATAAAGCTTAAATAGCCAACTTGCTGTATACAAAAAGGAAGAGTATTCATACAATGATTAATGAAGACGAACATACCATTCTCACTTGTTCACATTGCAAACTATATGAACTAAATTGGAATTTTCGTACCACCACGCAAGAAACTGTTGCTTTTTTTGCCATCTTAAGAAAAATTATCTTAAACCTAAAAGATTATGCAACTTCGCATAAATCTTTGACCCGAGCACAATTTCTAAGAAATCTCGCAAGCGTTCTGATAAGTTGAAATCTATTAGGCGGGACGGCGACAAGAGCTCCGGCAATGGAAGTTTGAGGACAATTTTAGAATTAGAATTAGAGTTAGCGGATGTTGTGTTCTTATGATTTTTGTTTATCCCTTTTTTCCACTGCACCTATCTCTCCAGTTATGGCTGTTTTTTACATGTGTTCTTCTTTTAGATTTCCGTAATTCTTTGTTTGTCAGCGGTTGTTTCGAGCACCACAGAAGTTGTGTTTCCTGTTGGGGGAGCGTAAGGCCATTGGCATAAAGCAGTATGCGAGGAAGCGACCGCGAGTGAAGCAAGCGGACATTGGCCATTTATGTAAGAAGACTTAGGAGAGGTAATTGTCACGGTCTCGAGATTTCCCATGTACCAAGGATCCTGTATGATCAAAGAAGACTGAGCCAAATCTCCTGGAGTTTTTGGAACATTCCCAGGTACGGGTTATACAGTAAATATACCGTGTTCTAGAGACTTCCTGTATTAAGTGTTGGTAGTTGGTGGATGGGGAGATCCCACCTCCACTGTAAGATCAAAAGAGCATTAAGTGTTGTAATGAGAAGGCGTCTAGTATAAATGGGTGCTATCTCTCTCATTTGTATTCATCCAAACAATTGAGCAATAAAAAGCATTCTCTCTCGGAGTCGCTCTTTACGATTTGGGCAAGTGAGCGAATACTGACTTAGGTGCTCCAACAATCCAAGGAAGCTTAAATCGCCGCATGGTCCCAATCTCAAACTATCAGCCCATGACAAGTGGTGTCAGAGCGAAGTAAAGAGGAACTGTTCAAAGAGATCGATGAGCACATCAATTGGTCGAGAGAATGTCATACTAAGAAATTGCTTTAGTTAGTGTGGATGACAGGGCTCCTAGGAGAAGGTTGTACAAGAGAAGATCCGCGAGAGATCCAAGGAAGCCTAAGTTGCCGCACGATCCCAATCCCAAACTATCAGCCGTAACAAGTGGTGTCAGAGCAAAATAGAGAGGAACAGTTCAAAGACATCGAGGAGCACATCAACCGATCAAGAGAATGTCAGGCTAAGAAATTACTTCAGTTATCGTGGATGACAAAGCTCCCCAAGAGAAGTCGTACAGGAGAAGACTCGCGAGAGATCCAAGAAAAAAGAAGTTTCATCGGATGCCATGCCGCCCTCAATAAGAAGCTCACGAGGATGAGAACCACCATGGTGAAGTTCATTGAAGAACTCGATGAAGTGAAAGGCCGAATCAATGAGGTCAAAGAGACTCCCCTACCGAATTCACAATCATGTCATGAATGATGTCACGGCCCCTTTACACATGAAAGATGAAAACCTTGAAGCATGATTGAGGCCTTGAAGATGGAAGTCTGAAGATGGAAGTCTTGGAGCTCAGAGAGGACAACCTCACAATCGTGTTATGCTTCTTCAACTTGCACATAAGCTGGATGTGCCAAAGCTTAAGGAGTTCAAGGGCAACCGGTCCGCCAAGGAGCTGGACAACTTCCTATGGAGCATGGAATAGTACAGTGCCATTGGAATCCAAAATGAGTTGGCGAAGGTACGAATTGCTTCCACGTTCCCAAATAATAATGCAATGCTTTGGTGGGGCAATAGGGGCAATGAGACCAAGCTAGGTGCTGATCCCAATGAGTTTAGGGATTATGAATTTCGGGATTACTTCTTCCCCAAATTCGCTCAACAAGAGGCCCGCACAGCAAGCACGGTTCGAGTGTATGTGGAAACCGAACTCAAGCTCCAAATTCCCAACCTAGGGGAGGAAGAGGCTCTCGGAGCATTCATGGATGGATTAGAGCCATGGGCACAACTCGAGCTCAAGCGAAGAATGTCCGAAGTATCTCGAGGGCACTAGCCGTAGCCGAGTCTCTCGCTGACTTCACCAAAGTTGAGGAGTCCGCGACCCAGTCAAGCATGAGATGGGGATGGCCAAACCGAACGAACCAAGTAGCCAACAAGTCGAGAAGCCAAAGACAAAGCGGCATCCGCAACGTCCCAAGAAACCACCCTGAGTCGAGCGAGAGCGTAGAGGACGTGGCTCGAATGGGTGGTGAGGGGGAGAACGGTGCCAAGGTTTTCCATACACCAGGTCGTGTATGATCGAAGAAGACCGGGGCAAGTCTCCTAGAGCTTTCGGAAGGGAGAGCGATACGGTAAATGTATCGTGTGTTCTAGAGACGTTGGTGGATCGATCTCATCTCCACCGTAAGATGTAAGATCGAAAGAGAACGGTTGTAACAATAGAACCTCTAATATAACGGGCAACAATTTTTAACTGAGTGAGGTTTATAAACTAGGGGGCAACAATTTTTAACTGCAAGGAGGGCCACAATTTGCAGTTAAAATATATTTGAACTGGGCGAATATACTCTGCTCAAACAGAGATTTCATTGGAAGTTAGAAGAACAACCTAAAGGAGAAAGAAAATCAATGAGGTTAACCGATATTCGAAAGCTATCAAACCAATAGCCAACTACCAACGCGTCTAATTTCACTGCTCTAGCTCGTCAACAGTGGCTGCTGCCGCCACATTCTTGTTGTACTCTTCCAATTCCTTCTTGTACGCCTCCATTGCTTCGGCTGCTCTCGCGTTCCATATCCCTCTCTCCTCTTCGCTCATTTCCTGTCAAAGCCAGCCATCAAATGAATAGAATCATTTTGATATGGTGGAGAGATTTTATCGGTCTTCTTAATCAGAAATTCGTGACAACAGTATAAATTACCTTCCATTTCACTGATATCAGTGCATTCAAGGTGGAGTTGCTGATTCCGGGCCTTTCCTCCATTAGGCTCTTCCTAGCTTCTTTGCTGGAAAATCAGAGAAAATTTTTAAATGAACCGTCACCAGTCAAATCTCCAAGTTAAACTTCTTTATATAAACTAAATGAAGGTAGATGGAACTTTTATCAACCTGAAGAGGATGAATGAGGATGCCGGCTTTTTAGGCTTGTTGGGGTCTGCCTTCTTCTTTTTCTGGTGATTTTGTTTCGTTTTCTGCACATTTTCGCGACTTTAGTTAGCTTTTGGGTAAATACTATTCTCATAATCTGAAAGAAAGTATCATTAGGCACCTTAATTATGTTTTCAGTCTTCTCCTTCTTCTTCAGCAGTTGCAAGGCTTCTTGCTTCTGAAGCTTCATCTGCTCTTCCTCTTCCATTCTAACATTCTCAGCCTCTTCTTGCTTCTTCTGTTTATACGCCTCCATTTCTTCCATATATTTCTCCTTGTTCTTCTTAGCCATCTGGGTAATCGAAACAACATCAATTCAATGACCATGTAATCGAAATAACATCAATTCAAGTTGAATGACCATGTGTTATACTAAATTTGCTGTGGAAGACCCAAAGGACAGAGAAAAATTAACAAACCTCTTCATAAGGCCTTCTCTTTTTCTCTGACAGGTTCTTCCACTCCTCTCCTGTGATCTTTGCAACCTACCACAACCAAACAACAGAAAATTTTAGACTAAATAGAAAAAAATAAAAGAAAAAAGAAAAAACTCTTAATTTGTTAAAACATCAGTGCATTATAGTCTGCATTACCTCCAACACATTCTTGCTTTCAGCAAGCAAAGCAGCCCTCCTCTCATTGGAGAACAAGAAATATGCCGACATGGGTTGTTTTGGCTTCAATGGATCTTTTTCCTTCCTGTAGAAATTTACAAACGAGATTAACAATTATCCTATGTTTTTAGCTTCAACCATACAAAAACTATTAATAGCATGACTAATGAATTCAATTTGATTACTTGGTCTTCTTGTTATCCTTCTTTTCGGCTTCCTGTTTGAACTGGAGATACTGGTCAAGCAACTCCATGGCGGTCCTCTGCTTGTGCTCCTCTTCAAAAAGCTTCATCGCCTCGGCCTCGCGCTTTTCTTTCGCAATTATCTGCAAGTAAGCTGCCTTTTCAGCTTGGTACTTCTCCTCATAGGGCTTCTTCTCCTCAGCAGTGACACTCTTCCATTTTGTCCCCAAAATGTTTGAAGTCTCTTTAAACTCTGCTTCCGGGTTCTCCTTCTTAATCTGTTTCAGAAAATCCAAAATTTTATTGTCGTTGATGCTGAGATAACTGAAATTCAATTCTCACAACAAACAATTTGCTGATTTTTCTTTTTTACTTTACCTCAATCCATTGATCCTTGCACCACAGGATGTAAGGTGGAGATGGCCTCTTTCTCTCTGGGCAACCTTTCTTTTTCTCCTTCTCGTGTTCCTTGTCTCTTCCAGATTGAACATTCGGGAATGTCTGAAAATAAAACTCGACAAGAAAAACCCATTTCAATCCCTACTCTACTCCCATTTCTCTATACGTCGGCTCAAATCATACTATACATCCATTTTATGCAACTATTTTAGAGAACTGACATTACATATGAAGTAAATAATGCAGCTTTATAAAAAATGGAGCGAAACTGACAATTTAGCATATCTTCGAACCCCATTTCTGTACACTTCAACATAAACCGTATTACGCCACATACTATATGAATTTCTCTCGACGATTTTAGCGTACCTAACATTAATTGTGAAGTAAAAGTGGCACCTTTATCCAAAAAAAGAGAAGAAATGTTGAGCGAAACTGACCATAGTGGGCTTGAATTCCTTGATTTTCTGCAAGTTCTTGAGCTCGCCCTGGAGCTTCTCGTGCTCTCTTCCTTTGACCTCGAGCTCCTCCTCCTTCTGCTTCAGCATTTCGTCCCTCTCCTTCAACATCTCCTCCGTCTTCGCCTTCTCGATTCTCAGCTTCTCCATCATCTCCTGCATCTCCTGCAGCTCCTTCTCGAAGCCGCCTGCCATCGTGGCTGCCGCTTGCTTCTTCGAGTTCGCCCTTGGCTTGCCCTTCTTCGGGGACGAGCGGGGCTGCGAGAGGCTCTCGCTGTTCTCCTTAAGAGCCGAGCCAGAGTCATCGTCGCCACTGGGCTGCAGAGGGAGGAGGGTTTGTTGCTGTGGGGCTAAGATGTTGGCTTCATTCGGAGACGGGTTCTTCTGCTTCAGCGCCTTCCGGGTGTTGTTCCTCGATTTCTTAGTGGGGATGGCTTCAGAAACTGCGGTATCAGCCATGGCGTTTTCACAGAGAGAGAGAGAGAGAGAGAGAGAGAGAGAGAGAGAGAGAGAGAGTTAAAAGAGGATTTTGGATCTGGGGAAGAAGATGGAAGGAGCTTTATAAAGGGGCCACGAAGGGGAAGGGCAACGGTCGAATATTTTCAAATTTTGAAATTCATTTGGGGCTCATGTTACCGTTGAGAAGACTGAAGATCTTTTCATTTCCCAAAAAAAGGGGAAATTGGTTTTACATTTCCAATAACAGCACAATAAAATCATTAATGTGGATTATTATTTCCACTTACGTGCAACCCAATTTGGGAACCAATGAAATTGCAAATCTGTACGATGACTAGATTATAGTGATAGAAATTAATTTTTCCTTGCCTATTAAGGTTAGAAATAAGTCAAATTCTTCGGTCTCTTTTTCGACAATCGGAATCAATGAGTTCCTTTTTTTGATAAAATTATTTCTCGTCTCTTATCATATTTTGCATAAAATCAAGTACGTGGAATCTAAAATTCTAAATTCTGAACAAATCATGGCAAAATTGTATCATAAAAATTGCTTGTCGTGTTCTGTTGTACATCAATATAAATCGATGACGACTTGTCTTGTCTATAGATAAACTCGACATTATAAGACTAAATTATATCGGTGTTCCGCATTTATACTACCGGATTATAACAATCGATCACCTACCTACCATATTAATCCTTCAATGTTGGGTATCCATCATTTTAAGTAATTAAGTGATTTGTAACTTGAATTGTTGTCTCTCGTCGCATCAACAGCGATTCCTCTCATTCCCCTCGCGTCGACAATCTGTCGGTACATTTCAAAATCTAAATAGAGGTCATAAAAATGCTTCGAATCGCGTCGAATTTGGGAGAGGAAAAACACAAATTTTTGTGTCATAACACAGGGAAATCAATCTTGATGACCAGGAAAAAAGAACAAGGATATATATCGTGGAAGTAGATTTTACAATCAACATATGTTGCTTTGCATCAACCGTAGGAAATGAAGGCGGCTTCGGACGTTACGACCACAAAATGAAAGTGAAGTACTGTGGTCAAAAGTCGTCGTCATCGTCTCAAGAAGCTCAACTCTCGCGGCACATGGCCCCGGTAACCGGGGGTTGGGGTCGCAACTTGGGACGCAAGCTATTGGGTTCGCGACTCTAACCCCACAAACTTCACTAAGCAAGAGGCAAAACAAGTTCAACAGAATAACCTCGACCATGGCAGCTGCACAAAAACACACGGGACGACGGACAATTTTTTAAACCGTTCACGCTTCTTCTGGAACTCGCATGCCGAATCCATGCTGCACTCTCTCAACCCTGTTCAAGCAAGCAAGAGTAAATAAAAAAAGATGACAGCACTGGAAATTGAGATAGCTATATGCGAAGACAACATCAATGGCTACTTAGAAGGTGACTTTATCAGGATCATGTTTCTTTCTTCACCAAGATAGAAAGCGCAAGCAATGCATTCTAGACATTACAACCATTCGATCTAAATGAAGTAGTTAGCTAAGAAATATTAGCTGTTTAAGTTGCACTGTATAAAATTATAAATAATACATGCCTCATGTAGATTAATCTACAATTTGAATAATAGCTAGTATGGTACAAAGAAATATATTAATCTTTCCACCATACTATGGGATCTCATAGAATACTATACCACTAATTTGAGTCCACTCATTTCATTTAAAAGACTTGAGATGAAAATCCTTTTGATTTCTTCAATCATTGACTAAGAAAAGAGGTACCATGTTATGAATATCTCAGCAGAAATATGACAGATCACAGTGTAACTGGGGTTATGTGGTAACTGATCTTAAGGGTGCACGACGGATGAGTGAAAACAAAATGACACATGAAAGAAGTTTACAAAAGCATGTGCTACATAATCATCGACGTGTTACAACTTACGTTGGGGCAAGTTTTCCGAGGTTGTATAGCACTTCGCCAGTTTTCTCATCCTGGACTATCCCAGAGATGTCAATAGCATAAAACCTGTTTCTTGTTCTCGGTAGTCCTCTGCTAGTAAGTAAATCGAGATCTCTCTGATTTAGCTCTCTCCCGTTCATGAAGATGCCCGTGTTCCCAGCCGCACAATTTGACGGCATCGGATGTTTGAACTCTTCAATAAATGGCTGCAACGAAAGATCACGGTGTCATTTATAAGCAGGTAGCATAAAAACCTGCCTGCAAAGAAAGTGTTGGTTGAGAGTAAGGATTTGACAACTTACTGGAATTATGCCGAGGCAAGGATGGTTCATGACGCCCCAAAACCCAGCTTGGAAATCGTACCTAGTGAAGATAAACAAATATAAGAAGACAGAGATAAATGCAGTTATTAGCCCATAGATAACTTACCAGTAATCTCCAGGGAGAACAGGACCGGCAAGCTTTTCGGCCCTTTTAACGATGTCGTCCGGTATCAGATGCCCGTTCACTGTTACTTTAGGCTTTTCATTTTCCAGGTTTCGGAACTCTCCATAGCTCTTTATAAGGCCTCCAAGATAAGATTTACTTCTCTTCTTCCCCTTCTCTTTGGCTTCTTTGCTGGTATCTTTAGAGTCTTGGGATAATCCTGCATGGGGATACTCATTAAGAGGAACTTCAACTTCTGCCGTTGCAGAAGCATCATCGCTAGTACTTTGGCAAGCATCGTTCTTCTCTAGAGAAACGCCCTCTTGGTTGATCTTGCTTTTCTCATTTTCGTAAGACGATGAATTATCAAAATGGTTTGGAACATGTGAATTTTGCAGTTTTGGAGAAGTGTTATTTTCAGATTGAGTTGAGACATTGCTATGAGCAATCACACTGTCTGCATTCTCTTCTTCCTCTGAACGAAATGATGGTGAAGAAGAAACTGGAGAATGGAGGCCCTGCATCTTTCCAGAGTCGCTAGCATTCTGTGGCTGCACTTCCAAGAAGGATAGTCCTGTATACGGATACTCATTCAGAGGAACTTCAGCTTCTGTCATTGCGGAAGCATCCTCTCTAGTACTTTGGCGAGTGTCATTCTTCTCTAGAGGATCCCCCTCCTGGTTCATCCTGCTATTCTCATTTCCATCAGTCGATGGATAGTCAAAATGTTCTGGAACATGTGAATTTTGTGGTTTTGGAGATGTGTTATATTCTGATCGCGTATTGCACTGGACAATCACACTGTCCGGACTCTCTTCTTCCTCTGAACGAAGAGATGGCGAAGAAGAAGCTGGAGAATGTAGGCCCTGCATCTTCCAGGAGTCGCTAGCATTCTGTGGCTGCACTTTCAAGAGGGATAGTCCTGTATGCGGATACTCATTCAGAGGAACTTCAACTTCTGTCGTTGCGGAAGCATCCTCTCTAGTACTTTGGCAAGTGTCATTCTTCTCTAGAGAAACCCCCTCTTGGTTCATCCTGCTATTCTCATTTCTGTTAGTCGATGGATTGTCAAAATGTTCTGGAACATGTGAATTTTGTGGTTTTGGAGATGTGTTATATTCTGATCGCGCATTGCGCTGAGCAATCACACTGTCCAGACTCCCTTCTACCTCTGAACGAACAGATGGCGAAGAAGAAGCCGAAGAATGTAGGCCCTGCATCTTCCCAGAGTCGCTAGCATTCTGTGGCTGCAGTTCCAAAAGTGAATTGTCTCCCGTTATTTTCCACTTAGAAGATCCATCATAAGAATCAGAGGAAGTTCTCGTGGCACTCAGATGAGCGTTAGAGTTTAGGCCACCAGAGTTGGAGCAAGAGGAAGAAATTTGAATGTGGACGCCACCGTTTTTTGCAGCCCCACCAGAAGATCCCTCCTTCATAGAAGTGACAAGCTTCTTATTTTCGATCTCAAACAAGATTATAACCGAACACCCACCGCATCTAAGTTTTTGCTTGTCACTTTTCTCCTTGATGACCAGTTCCTTAGGCAACTTCAGCAACTCCAAGCAGTTTAAGCACGTTATAAAAGGTACAGCGCCCGCAATGGGATGGCAATGCTTCTTTTTCCGGTGAGAGACCATCGACCTCTTTGGTTGAGACTGAACAAAACTTTCAATGTCTAAATCAGCATCTTCTAGCCACATTTGAAGCGGATGCAGATATTTAGAATTGGATGAAGAGGTACTATCACCCAACTGTCTAGTATGTTGTGGCCTGATTTTGACAGAATTGACTCGACGGTAGAGATTGGAGTCAAGTGGACCTTTGAAAGTCTTCGATGAGCTAGAGGCATTAGGTAAGAATTGTGGAGGAGGAACTCGCTTGTACTTGTAATGGCAACTCGAACAAGCGCACGAAGGGTGGTGATGAGGGGATTGGTTCGGATACATGACCAGAGGATCTCTGTCAAAACCCAGGAACCCTTCCGCGTGGTGTCCATGAGGTGGCTCGTGTGCATATTGACGGAAAGGCCTCATGGTTTCGGGCCAAAACGAGCATTGTGGGTTCTGGAGAAGATTTAATTGGCCATCCCGAGGAGAAAAATATGGGTTCGACATTTCCATCTCGTAGCTCTCCATAGAACGAACGGAATCACGGCCTGGTCTCGCATCAGGAGGCTTTCTAATGGAACCCTTGCGGACGAGCGGTTCATCCAGAATGTCATTGCCAGCACGAGCATAGTAAGGATCAACAGAAGCTATTCTTTTATGACGAGGAACTGCTTCTCCAGCCTCAGGTTCATTCTCCATGTCACTGGATTGATTGATTTGATTCCCCAACTCATCCAACTTCCTGAGGAGCTTGACCCGCTCACGCTCTAACTCTCTGACTCTGTCACGGTCAGTTACATCATGACCACTGCCTAAAAACTCGCCATACCCAAGAGAGGGAGACCTGTAGTAGTCGGAAGGCCCCTCTTTGGGAAACGAATACCGGCGAGTCCTCTCGTGCTCGGTGACGATCCTCGAGTCCCTTAAGAACCCTTCTAGATGGTCTCCGGCGAAACTCCGCCTTCCTCTCTCTGCCCGCGAGTTCGCCAAGTCCAAAACCTGCTTAAACCGAGGAGAGTTTTCTCCAAAACCTGTTTCCACAAGTTTGTTTACCCGGTCTTCTGTGTATTGCTTATAATCGAAGGCATAACCAGTTTCCTCTTTGGCTCTTCTCCTCTCAAGCCATAAACCGGTGCTGTCATCCCTCACATTATCTCGACGAGTGCGTGCAGATTCCTCTCTCTTTTCCATTGCAGAATTGCTTATCGAATCATCAGCTCTGGCTCCAGAACTCAAAAGCCTCTCATATTTCACATTCCTATCCCTATCGTGCTCACGGGCATCACCGAAGCTCTCGCTTGCCTTCACCGAATTCTCGGCATCACTAGTAGGCTCTCTCTTCTTAGCTATCAGAGGAAACCAAATTAAAACTCCGATCATTTTGAAAACGGCCTAAATTGCTGATTTTAAGTGTGCATAACCATTAACACAATCAGAAAGGCAAGGACCGAAAACTACAATCTCAAACATTTCTTCAAACATGTGACTTTCATCCTCACCAAACAATTCCCATCGGTTGGTTTAATGAATGAAAAACAAATGAAAAGAGAAACGGAGAGAGAGATAATGAAAGAGACAAGATTCACCTTTGAGAACAGCACCACAAGCACCACACTTGAACACAGAGCAGCCATGGGGCTCTTGCAACAGATTTGCACATTTTGGGCAATGGACCAACCTCAAATTTGATCTCTGAGCCATCATTACAGCTACTTAAAGGCACAAATCAAGAACCCCAAGAATTCCCTCCTGACCTTTACGAACCAAGACCCTCATATCTGAAAATCAAAAAGAAAAGAGAAGAAAAGGAAAAGAAAGAACCAAAGACATGCAGATGTTAAAAATTCGTCCGTCCTCGCACGATCTCATCCCCAGAGAAACAAACAAACTGCTAGACAACAAGCTGAATACGGATTGACATCCCCTGTTTTCTTTTTATTTTCTTTACTTATTATATCTGCCTCGAGACACGACTGATTAAAAGCTGGACATCAGCTTGTTTCGATGAAAAGGACATCTTAGAGAAGCAAAAAGCCAAAGCCTGAAGTCAGCGCTCAGATTTCTGACAGACGTCATTCCAAAAACGTCCAGTGCAGCCAAAACACAGCGGTAAAACGTCCCTATTGCCTGCCACGGCCCGGGCAAGACTCGATCTCCTCCTCCTTGTTTTTTCAAAAAACAAAAGGCTCTAGCAAGTACGCGATCGCCCAGATGAAACATGGACATGGTCAGGTCAAATCCCAGGACGAAACCCGATACGGCTGAGGACATGTCACGATCAAGAAGCAGGGACCCCTCCACCAGAATAATATATAAACGACTTTTGGTTTGGACTTTGAAGCCGGATTATATGAGCCTTTGGCGACTGAACCTGTGAAAGAACAGTGTTGAAAAGTGAAATGAGTAGATCAAAAGGAAAACGTTAAAGGGCCGTCTCTTGTATTATATAGGTTTAGATTAGAGCGTCTCAACCGCATCCTTTGAATTTTTCTTGCGGACGGGACTCTGTTGTCTCTCTAATATAAACTGCAATTTATTTGATTGGGCGGCACGATGTCGACCCCTTTCAGCAATGCCCGGCTAGGCATTTAAGTATAGGAAAGGGAAAATGATACAAATAGTTTCTGAACTTTAACTTGATGTGTAATATGATCCCTGAACTTTTAATTTTAATTTGTTCAATATAGTCCCTGAACTTTAACCCACAGTGCAATGTAGTTCACGAACTTTTCATTTTTTCAATGTCATTTATGAACTTTTAGTACATGTCCAATTTAGTCCCTGAATTATATGGAAATATTTAATGTAGTCCTTTTTTTAATTTAAGTTCAGGAGCTACACTTAACATTTTCACGTAGTTCAATGACTACATTAAACATGTACCAAAAGTCCAAGAACCACATTGAACAAATTAAAAGTTTAGATACCATATTGAACATTAAGCTAAAGTTCAGGGACCACATTGAACAAATTAAAAGCTCAGGAACCATATTGCACATTGGATCAAAATTCATGGACTATTTGTGTCAATATCCCTATAGGAAAAAAGCCTCAAAAAACTTTAAATTATGTCCATGGTGATCCATTTATCTAGAACTTTTTTTATTGACATCAAAAACCCCAAACAATGCCTACCGTGACACATTTACCTCAAACTTTTTCTTGTGACGTAAAAAACCCCCCCAAACTTGTACTTATGTGATACATTTAGCCTCCGTCAAGTTCCGTTAGATGATTTTTCGGCCAAAATAACGTCTTTTTTTTTATTTCACTTAAACCACGGGGGCGTGCCAACACTGTTTGCTTTCTAGCGTCCATCCATGTAGGCAGACTTTTAACAATTCTCGTTGACAGAACTTTGACAGAGGATAAATGTGTCACACGTGTACAAATTTGAGATTTTTTGCATCACAAATAAAGTTTATGGTAAATGTGTCACAATGTGCATAATTTAGGATTTTTTATGGCTTTTGTCCTTAAGCATATTGGTGCATGTACCGTGATGAGCGATCGTGAGTAGTCGGACAAATGCCAAACGTGGGTTTCTTAGGTTTTTTGATAATCTAAATGGCCCCAAGCAATAAGACGATCCGAACGGAAAAATTCGACCGTTGTTCAACTCCGGCAGAAAGAGCGGGGTGAATTGGGTGCATTCAATAATGGATTGTCGAATTGGATTTCGTCCGCAATGATAATGAGTGCAGCCCAACTTTTTGTCTTGAACAAGTAAGATCATTCAGAAGTCAAATTCACTCATCATCCATGTTAAAATTTCCTTCATTTTTTTGCAAAAATTAGGTGATCCTAATGCATGATTGGTCATGCCTTTTTGGGCCATATTGTCAAAGCATGTATCTTTGTTTTGTTCTTGTAACAAGGTCCTCCTTCTGGTTGTCAGCCTAACCACTATAGAAGATGCAGCTTCGGACCCTAGAATTTTTTTCTTAGGGACCAATGAATTTTTGTCTTCTGGATAAAGAGATTAGACATGGGAAAATTGTTCCACAAAGTTTCTATTGGAGTGTTGTCGCGTATTCTCCTAAACAGAATAAAAAAATTCAGATCCATCCAATTTGTTTCGCGAAAACTTAACGGCAAAGATTTTCCTAACGATAATTATTTATACTGGGTTCGGAAAATGAGTTAACGGTTTCACTGTCGATGAAAATGTTTAAGTACGGATTGATGCTAATAACGAAGACATCGTAATATCAAGCAGTAAAAGCAATTCGTATTAGGAAAACAATCTATGAATTTGCTGATTTTCTATCAAACAAAACGGAGTTTATTGAAGATATTCAATTCAATGGTGTTCTCTCTTTTCTCACGTTCATCTTTTTGAACTTTTATACTCTCCGCAATCACGTCAATACGTCCTGCAAATCGCGGAGTTAAACCCTAAACAACTTAAAGATGTAAACACAGAGAAGCTTCTTCTGATTAATCCTTTTTCATCACACAACGAGCGAAAGCACCGAACCCGCTCCTGAACATCCTCGCAACCTCTTTCCTGCCCCTCATCTTCTTCCACGGGCTCTTGGTCGACCGCTTGGCCGACGATCTCCGCTTGCATGAAGCTTCCGCTTTCGTGGCGGACCTGGAGTCGTCGATCTCCGACGAAGGTGACAGCTCCGACCAGGGCGATGACGCCGACAAGGCCATCGTGTTCCGGTCGAGAAGATGGCCGAGCGAAGCCAGTTCGTAGGAATCGTACAAGGGACTCCCACAGTCCCACACGCCCTCCAGTTTGTTTCTCATCGTGTGTGCTGATGAAAGTCCTGGAGCTTCTCGAGGGGCCGTCGCTTGAGCAGCTTGCAGAGACATCGCTCCTGAGGAAGGAAGTATCGGCTTCACGTCGTTTGATTTGGTTGAGCTAAATTTGGTGGAGAGCTTGACATGTGACGTCGCTGAGCCAGGAATTGCCTCGCTTTGGTGCATCGTCAATAGTGCGATAATGCTTTTATTTTGAACTTTCAACTAGACAGGCATTCGCACGCGTTGGCATAATTGTCCAAAAAAATTTAAATTTATTGTACGGCGGCTAATTCAGTTCTAAATTTATCAATTTGGCCAGATTAGTTATAAACCTTTTGATGATTTGTCATTATAGTCACTTCGGCTAATTAAGGCTAGAAATCGCTCACGTGGATCTCGACCGTCCTACGTGGCCGAAAAGAAAGGAAAAGGAAAAAAAATTACAAAAATTGTCAATGTCGGCAATTTCCGGCCAAAATTGGCCAAGACAACTATTTTCAAATTGTAAAAAGGTTGGAACTAAATTGGCCAAATTAAAAAGTTTAAGATTGAATTTGCCGCCATACAATAGGTTTCAAACTTTTTGAATAATTTTCCTCACGATTGGGCATTGTTTGTTTGGTTTAAGGAAATATTAACTCATAATGAACTTGCCAACATTTGGAGCTAAATGGCATATCTAGCTACCGTTAGAGATGCTTAATTACAGTAAAAGTGACGATATGGTATATATATACATATTATATATATTTGTGTGTATATGTATTCTGGTCTTGAAGGGGAGATTAAGGGTCAATTTATTTCACGCCTCACTTTCCGACGTTTGGTTTGTTTAGAAAAATGAGCTAATGAAAAATGTTTTCCCACCCAAGCTTAAATTCAGGAAAATGATTTCCTTTTTAACAAGATTGGAAAACGTTTTCTGAAATATGACTTGATGTTGGTGTTTGGATCCGAAACTCTACGCTTAGAATGCGAATGATAACCATTCTGTTTTGCTGTTTTTCTATTTTTTTTTCCCAAGAACAGGTTTTGAATAGAAATCCATTTGATAAAATAATTTCATTTTTCTATTTTCGGGACAAATTTTTAGCCTTGAAATAAGTTTGGAATAGAAATGAAAAGTTAAAATTTTCTACTTTTCTATTTTTGGAACAGAAACATAAATAATAACTCTCCTTTATTGCTCACCCTCACCATCTACCACCGGTTGTTTGTCATCGCCGCTCGCCAGCCGCTCGATGCGCCCACTGACCATCCGTCGCCCCTCGCCTAGCGCCCACCCCCACCCGCCCCGTCCACCGCTCACCGAGAATAGAAATTTAAGAATAACCAATCAAATGAATTTTTATTCCGAGAACAGAAATTTCGTGTCGTTATCAAATACTACTTTTTACTTAGAAACTCGTTCAGAGAATATAAATGGATTTTTCTGTTTCTAGCCAAAAATAGAGCTGGAAAAGAGAAATTTTATCATTCGTGTCCTTAGGCACGGAAGCCCCAACGTTGGTTTCCAGGTCCCCATGTTTAGGACCAGGTTTCTGGGGGCTGGGCTGGGCCCCCGGTGCTCATGCCCAATCCATCGAGGCCGAGCCTGAACCCCTTGTGCCAGTACCCAATGCTTCGGCACCTGAACTCGAGTCCATAAAGGCTGTGCTTGGATCCCCGGTGCTCGAGCTCTGGTCTCGACGCCTAGGCATGGGTCCTTGGTTAATAAAACGTTTGTTCTTATAAAAATATATTTTTTTTAAAATTCTAATTTTTAATTATTTTTAAAAAACCAAAATTCTTTATTATTTTAGAAAAATTGAATTTTTTATTGTTTTAATTTTTTCTTTTCTTTTCTTCCTTTTTCTTTTTCTTCTTCCTTGGCCAATCGCGAGCACGGCCACGGCCGACGAGCTCTCGCCGGCCTCCGGCGGCAAGGCTCGAGCTATAAATTTGCTGATTTTCTATCAAACAAATGGCGTTTATTGAAAATATTCAATTCAATGGTTCTCTCTCTTCTCACGTTAATCTTTTTGAACTTTACAATCTCCACAATCACGTCGACGCATCCTGCAGATCGCGGAGTGATAATCCTAAACAACCAAAAGATGTAAGCCCAGAGAAGCTTCACGCTCGACCAATGAGTAAATATACTCGATCCACTAACCCTAGAGCTTCTCCGATTAATCACTTTTTCATTACAGAACGAACAAAAGCACTGAACCCGCTCC